TCTCTCTCTCTCTCTCTCTCTCTCTCTCTCTCTCTCTCTCTCTCACACACACACACACACACACACACAAACACACTTTGCACACAAAGATACACACACAAGTGATAGCTAGGGAGCCTACAAAGACGTTGTCAAGTTCCTATTTGTTAAGAGTTCCATCTTTTTGACACTTCCTTAATAAACATATGTCAGTTAAACATCACCAAAGCAAGATGAAAGGACTCTCAGAAAAGAGATGTCATCAAGGCTTGTCAAAGAAAACCAAAAAGCTTTATTAGGTTTTCAAATCAGTTTACAGTTCACAAAATAAACAAAAAAAGTTTCATCTTTCCTGTGTCACCGAAAGATTTTCCTCATAACTAAATTAGGGCTTTACCAAGTTTTCATACTATTCCCTTCAAGTCATTAATTTTCCATTCAAACTTCTGCTTGAAGTAACCCTAATTCTGTCCATTTTGTAAAAATAGTTGTCAACATAAACTAAATTATGGTTTTTATAAGGATATATAACTTTCATGAGTAGTTTCTTTCCTTTACCAAACTCGACGGATAATATAAAAATACCAGATCTGGCCATTAATAGTCTTTAATTGATTTAGTTTAAAACTAGGGTTTAGTAATAAATTAGGGTTAGGAAGTTTAAGATCAAGACAAAAGGATATTGTTTAAAAAACAATATCTTGATTAATAAAAGTGTCCTTTTATTCTATTATTTTAAAACTTAGGGTTTCACCTGGCATTTTTTTAAAATCGTTTACATTTTTTTTTCAGAACAAAATGTTTTTGTGATAATTATTGTTTTGCCTTTAATCAAATACCCACATCCAAATCTAAGAAAAATAAATAAATATTAGGTGTATGGGTAAGATTTGTCTCAACAAGAAAGAAATCTTTGGCAACGTCACAACCCAGATTTCATTTTCAGTTTCTTGACTTCTGACATAATAAGCAAGCTCTTGCACCTTTTGTTTTTGTCATTAATCATGATTTCTTTTTACGTTAATTTCTAAAAACAGTTCACATTTCTTCAATTGTGAAATGGAAACACACAAACTGAACCTTTCCCTTTGGTAATGCGCAGCAAAGACTTTCCCAAAGTTTATCAAACTGCTGAAACTGAAACAGCAACCTAAGGATAGACTAACATAAAAACGGTATATATATATATATATATATATATATAGAGAGAGAGAGAGTGAGAGAGAGAGAGAAAAGGTACATATTGAAGAGAACGAATGGGAGAGAATGATATGCATGGGGAGAGAGGAAAATGGGCATCAATAGATGCTGCCATGAAATGGACGGCTCTGATTACTCAGAGTTTACAGAGAGAAAGAGAAAACCATAATTTTGGATCTACCCAAGGTGGGTAAAAGGGTGAGAGTTAAAGGAATTACCCAGGGGTATAATGGGCCTCCGACACGTGGTAAAGATCTATCCGTTGGATTGTCTCACCAATCATAAAGAATGGATCAGTGACAACGTGGCGGAGACAGCCAATCAGTGTCTTCGGGAATATTAAGGTAATATGCATACAGATAAGGGATATAAATAGAATCCTTAAGATTTCCGAGAAAAGTGGGATTTTATTCACTTGAGTTGATTTTATGGTTTTCTTGAAATCATAAATACCATTTACTCAGTGAATTGGCTGTGAGGTGAAATACCTTTAGATTCAACAGTTGACTACTGATTGAGAAGTTTATGTGTGCAGTAATTTTGCTGTATGTTTTGGTGCCTGAATCTATCCTTTGAGCAAAGCACAGTAGTTATTTAGGTGGCTTAAGCTATCCTTTGAGTTAGTAAAAACATATGTATGATACAATATTAACGCATTTTATGATTTCTTTTCCTACATGTTTATAGTTTTCTTATTATTGACACTTTGATTACTTGAAGTCTATAGTTAATATTCTAATATAATTTTACCTAGTTTTTTAATAGACATGGAAATGAAAACTCCTTGTTACGTTCACACACTGCTTGAAAAGTGCACAGTCGGTTTATATCATGATGATTGATGAGGGTTTGATTTGAGTGAACATATAGACACATAGGTTGGCACAAAAATACGATACATTATATATAATTATTGAAAATGTGAAGAATTCATTTCTATATATAGAAGACAATTAAAAGCTTTAAATTATTACAATATTTATTCTAAATTTTGCGTTATTTAAACCTAAGATTTTTGGTGTTTTTCTGATTTTATTTTTTGAGAGTAGACATATCTAGGGACATTTCATAATTAGTTTATGCAGCTCAAGCATCAATATTAATTAATGAAACATTTTTAGTACTATAAAGATTAGAAAAGTTTTATAGTTTATGTGTTTGTTGCACATATACAAACTTTGTGTGGTGTTAACTATTGTAATAATAACCAAGTTCTAAATTATCAGCAATTTGTGTACATAATTTGATTACTATTAATTAATATATTATTTTAGGTGTGATAGTTTAAATCTAAAGGTAACAAGAATCCTTAGTATATATTTTTGGAAAATGTTATGTTGTTGCTGAAATCTATTATAATCTTTGTTTTGTTGTTATTGCAGTGTAAAAGGAACCATTGATAGGTACAAAAAAGCATGCCTAGACCCACCAAGCAGTGGATCTGTAGCCGAAGCCAATGCTCAGGTAATAATAACCTTTAATACCCAATGTTATGTATCACTTTGAATAATTAAACAAACTAGTTTGAAAAAACCCAGTGTTGAGGGTTATGTATGTATTAATCTAATTTTATTTGTTACAAAATGGTTTTATCTTAGTTTTACCAACAAGAAGCTGCAAAACTGCGTCAGCAAATAGCAAATCTTCAGAATCAAAACAGGTAACTTTTAATGATTGTGAGTGCGCTTAGTATACATATCACATTGATATTAATTAATTAATTAATGCCATAACCTTTTGTTTAAAAGGCAATTTTACAGGAACATCATGGGTGAATCGCTGGGAAACATGCCAGCAAAAGACCTCAAGAATCTTGAAAGCAAGTTAGAGAAAGGCATTAGCAGGATCAGATCAAAAAAGGTATTTGAGTTAAATCATTTATTAAAATTTGTGGTTTATTAATTATAGGAATCTAACATGTGTTTTTCCCACAAAAAAATGCAGAACGAACTTCTATTTTCTGAAATCGAGTATATGCAAAAACGAGTAAGCAATGTGAATCTTGGAGTTAGTAATATTTAAGTAATATCTTGTAAGGATGAGCATAAAAATGGTCAAAATGGTGGAGTTATTTTACGAACTGACCATTTTTTGTACCACTAATTTCACAATGGCCCATTAGTAATTGCGAGATTGTTTCCATCAAAAAAATAAATAAAAATAAAAACAAAACAAAACATCAAGGTTTCGAAGAAAAATCATATATGAATTTTTGTATTTTTTTAATATATATATATATATATATATATATATATATATATATATATATCTCACAATATATAAATGTATATTTTATAATATATCATTGTATTCGTGATATATGCTGTTGTATTAACGTTTATTGTGGTGATAATCATTCAAAATTGCTTTCTGACCACTAAAAACCTTCAAAAATGAAATTTAGTAAAATTCAAATGTTTTGCAAGATATGAACAAGTTTCAATATATGGATGTATTCATATCCTTTTTTTTCTCGTATCATTTTATTTGTTTAAGGTTTTTTGTGGTAATACTATTCTAAAAATAATTTCACAATTCGGAATTGGCATTTTATAAACTAGATGTAACCCATTTTGCTTATCTTTTGTTATTATCAAGTGTAAATAAAAAAAATAAAAAAACATATATTATTGTAAGTACAAACTTTTTTATTATTATAATTCGTACCCCTAATCGAAAGTCCTAGTTTCTAGGGCTCATCTAGGGTTAATATTAGTAGTAATTAATGTTCGATTATCACTCTTAATCGCAGGAAAATGAGTTGCATAATAGTAACCAATTCCTTCGAGCAAAGGTCTCTCTTTCTTTTAAATACGATCGATTTCATTGATTATCTTTTTATATATATACGATCGATTTCATTAATATTCATTTTTTAGATCGCTGAAAATGAAAGAGCACAACAGCAACACATGAGCTTGATGCCTGGAAGTTCTGATTACGATTTAGTATCACCTCATCAGCCATTCGATGGAAGAAACTACCTTCAAGTCAATGAACTTCAACCCAATAACAATTACTCTTGCCAAGATCAAACACCTCTCCAGTTAGTGTAAGAACAAATTAATTAAACAGCAGAAAGAAAATTCCTTGCTCTAAAAGGATATTGTATCTATATCTAATTTCGACTCATGAATTAATTAAATGATATTATTGCAGGTAATGATCGAAGGAGTTGTGGTTAATTTCTATTTGCTATAACACCTTCGTCGTGATTAATATGGTTTTGTGGTTATTAATTGCAACGTTTTTAAGTATCTATAGTTTGACATTTAATTATCTCGTTACTTTAATTAATTACTTGCTGTAAGTGTGAACAATGTCTATTATCTGAAACAACTTGTTTGTTCATCGTTTTACCCATCATCTTTGCTCTATACGTATTGTTGAGTCATAGTTTTAGAATTGGTGTGTTATCTATGTAATCTAGTGATATAGTACTAGTCTTACGGTCACAGAAAAAATAGGCAGCTCTACAAGGCTCAATTTTATGAGAGAATTTAATATATATCCTTATTAAACGTTTAAATATCGTATTTATCCGATTTAAATTTTAAATATCATATTACCCTTCCTAATGTTTTAAAATATCGGATTTGTCCAAATCTATTTTTAAACAAATTTTATTATTTAATAATCATTTTTTATAATTGAAAATTATTAAAGTTGAGGAAATAATAAAATATACAATAATACCCTTATCTAGACCCTAATACCCTTACCTATTCAAAATCGTAAATTGTAGGAATCCTTTGAGATGAGGTTTTTGGTCGTCTTCATAAGATCGCCGGTTAAAAACATGGCTTTTATCTTGTTGCCTATTGTTTTTGCGTGCGTTTTATATCAGTTTACCATCTCAATCAATTACTTGATTCTTCTAAACCACCTCTAGTTTATCTGTTAAAGGTCTTCCCCCTTGATCGAAAAGGGTTAATCCGTGGTAACCACTGCAACCATTCTGTCTTTTTCCCTTTCTTCTTCATTCCGAAACTAAAATTAACATATAAAATTCCAATTTTGTAGATGTTACACAAGTGATTTGTGAACTCGAGCTCACAATTCAAAAGCTTGAAAGTAATGACAAACCCAGATGGCAAGGTCTTGGATCTCTTCTTTGTCATTGATCACTTGTAAGCCCTTTTGAAATCTTGTATATAAGTTGTGAGCTTGAGTTAGCAGGGCCCGGATATGAGAGCCAAAAAGGGTTTACTTCTATTTCAGAAGAAATTGTTGATGAATTGTTATGTTATTGTTACAGGATCTTGGAGGCATGATAAACGAAACATGGGTGTGATTAACATCTACGCCCCACAGGATATTCATTATAAGTTTGATCTATGGAATTTGATTGAAGATAAGATCAACAGTGACAGGGGCCAGTTATTGATTATATGCGGAGACTTCAATGAGGTGAGGTTTTCCGGAAGAGAGGCGCAGTTCTGAATTTTGAAGACAGGGGCACAAAATTTTAATAACTTTATCTATAATGTTGGATTAGGAGATTTAAACTTGGGTGGACAGAGTTTCACTTGGATGAAACCGACCGGTGCCAAATTTAGACGTCTTGATCGTTTCTTGTTGTCTTCCAATTGCTCTAATTATTGGCCTAACGCGTTTACCATCACTCTACCACGTCTTCACTCGGATCACTGCCCTGTTCTTTTGCAGTCCATGGGTCCTGATTATGCTGCCCCCCCCCCCCCCCTCACGCATTCCGCATCTTTAACTCCTAGTGGACTGAAGATGACTTTGCGAAGATGGTCAAAAATAGTTGGATCAAAGATAGAAGTTGTCTTAAGATTTTTTCTAAGAATGAAAAATTAGCTAGACAACTAAGAAAGCTTAGAGAAGACATTAAAACTTGGAAGCGGGAGAAGACTAAAAAGAACATGGAAGAGTCACACTCGATAAAAAATAGAATAGTCCAAATTCACTCTATCGGTGAACTCATGGGGCTTGATAATGATCTGATACGGGAGAGATGTGAGCATACGACCAAGTTACAACGGATTGAAGAGGTGGGAATCAAAGATTTACAACAAAAAGTAAGGTGTCGATGGACCCTTGAAGAAGATGAAAACTCTGCTTTCTTCAAGGGCTACATCAACGCTAATCTAAAAAGAAACCGTATAATTGGGCCTAACCAGTGGCGGAGCCAGATATTTTGATATGGGGTATAAACATTGTCAATTTAAATTTTATGAAGTTATCCTATCCTGGACATTACAAAACATGATACAATCTCTTTAGATGGAGGTACAATAACATAGAGCATGTTTACAAATAATTTTTTTATATATATAAAACAATTTTTTTGGGGATGTGTGGGAGTCTAATCCATATCGGGTTAAACTCGAGTGTTTTAATTATTTCAAGTGCAAATTCAAAGAGTTGGTTCCTGTCCGGCTTGTTATTCGGAGTCGTCCTTTCAACTGCTTAGATGATCTTGACAGAATCATCCTGAATATTTCGTTCATGGGGGCTAAAGTCAGGTCTGCTGTCTGGAAGTGTGCCAGTGATAAAGCACCCGGACCGAATGGGTATAATTTTGGTTTTTTGCAGAAATTCTAGAATTTAGTGGACCTGATATTATTGAGGCGGTTCAGTTTTTTGGAGCTCATAAGGTGCTAAAAGGCAGATGCAACCGTTAGTTCATCACTCTAGTCCCCAAAATTCACAACCCGCTCTGCCTGTCAGATTTCCGTCCTATCAATCTCATTGGCTGCATTACCAAGATTATATCCAAAACGATGGCGGAAAGACTAAAATCTGTGATTGGTAAAATTATTGGTAGAGAGCAGACCGCTGTCATAAGGGGCACGCATATTACTGATGGTCCTTTAATTATTAACGAACTGATTGCAAAGGCAAAAAGGACCAAAAAGCGTACAATGATGTTCAACTTAGACATCGAAAAGGCGTTTGATTCTATCAACTGGTTGTATGTTGATGACATCATGAATCAAATGGGTTTCGGTGATAATTGGAGAGCCTGGACACATGTGATTATATCCTCAAATAAAGTTTCGGTTTTGATCAACGGTGTCCCGACCAACAAATTTCAGATGGAAAGAGGCATTAGACAGGGAGACCCGCTCTCCCCCTTCCTGTTCATCATCGCATCGGAAGGGCTACGCGTTGCCATGTCGGAAGCTCTTCAGAATGACATTTTGTCCGGCATCCAGTTGCCTCGAAACGCCCCTGTCATCAGTACCTTTCAATATGTTGATCACTCAATCTTCCTAGGCGATTGGAGTCACAAAAATTTTGAAAATTTGATGTGCATCCTTTCATGTTTCCACATGGCGTCGGGGCTGAAAATAAACTTGAGGAAATGTAAAATCTTTGGCATCGGAGTAACTCAAAGGGAGATTGATGTGATGGTGAATCATATCAGTTGTGATGGGGTGGGGGGGGGGGGATTCCATTCATGTATCTGGGTATGCCAATCGGGGCACACATGAATAAGAATGCACCTTGGCGTGCATTGATCGATTAATTCTCCTGTAGACTTTCAAGATGGAAAGCTCGGTCACTCTCGATAGGGGGAGGTTGAATCTTTGTAAATTAGTGCTTGGTTCTTTAGGCTCCTACCTCTTCTCCTTTTACAAAGCTCCAATGGTGGTGTTGCGTAAGCTTGAAAGTATCAGAAGAAGTTTTTTATGGGTAAGTGGAGATAGTGTTAAAAAAATTTCGTGGGTAACTTGGAGTAACACTTTAAACACACTTAAAAATGGGGGACTCAACATTGGCAGTCTTCATGCTATAAATCTTTCACTGCTTTTTCAAGTGGTGGTGGGCACGGAAGGGCTTTAGAGTGAAGTGATAAAGGCTTTGTACGGGACAGGTGGGGGTTTGGGTCTGTCATCCTAGCCTACCGAAAAAACACCATGTGGGGGTGTGATTGGTTCTCTTGACAAGGAGCTCCTGATCTATGACTTACCCACTGATTCATTTCTAAGTTGGGATAGCCAGTCAAACAACTGGAGATGGAGTCTTGAAAACAATGGTATTTTCACTGTTTGCTTTCTATGAAGAGCTATTGATGCTGTTTATTTGTCTTGTAATACCACCCCTACGCCTTGGTGCAAAGTTGTTCCCCATAAGATCAATGTGTTTGTTTGGCGCCTTAGATTGGACAGGTTACCCACGAAAGACAAGTTGACCAAAAGAAGGGTCTCTATTGTTTCAATCCTCTGCCCCCTTTGTAACATTCGTGTGGATCCTCGTGATCATCTATTCCTTTAATGCTCCATAGCTAAGGAGCTAATGGCTAAACTGAAATGCAGATTGGATAAAATTCTTGACCTGTCCAGCTGTAATACTGTCCAACTGTAATACTATGGAGGATATTTGTATTGATAATCCAGACCCTCAGTTGGTGTCTTATGATTCGGTGAAATACATGGTGGTGATAAGGGCCTGGCTCTGGTGTTTATGGCGTCCGAGGAATGACATCTGCTTCCGGAACAAGACTAAGACACCGTTTGATAGACATCTTTCCAGGTCCAAACAGATCTTTCTGGCTGAATGGACCGACATGAATGTTTGATATGCACAAAAAATAGGTCATTTCCGGTAACATATGTCTTTCCCAGAAAGCTCCAAAACCATATCTTTCTAGCTGAATAGGCTAGAAAGACAATTGTGCCTCAAACCCCGCCTCTTTCTTTCTTGGATTATTAATTTCTTTTAAATAATTTTTAAAATTTTTAATTGGATTATTATATATTAATAAATATTATTTTTAATATATACTATTTATGCATTAATTGATATTATTTTATTCGATTATTAAATTCTTTTAAATAATTCGTTTTTTTATTTCTTTTTTATGGATTAATTCTTTTTTATTAGATTATAATATATTAATAAATATTATTTTATTACTTTATTGGATTATTAATTTCTTTTAGTTAATTTTTATAATTCATTTTTATTGGATTAATTCTTTTTTGTTTTTTTTGGACCACACCACCATCATCCTAATATATTTTAAAATTTTTCATTCATCCCACCACTACCAGACATAAAACGGATCAATAATCACACATTGAGTTATAAAAAAAACAAAAATGGCTAGAAAAAATAACAATGTAACATCAACTTGAAAAACAATAAACTAAAAACAATTTAATTGACATTCTATTTGGATTTTTAAATGATTATTGTATAATTTTGATTTTGTACGGGAATTTGTATTTTTAAAATTATTCAACTGCTTCATCCATCACAGTATAGAATAATAGGGTAATATTGTTATTTTTCATCATTCAGCACAGTCAATCAGATGTACAATTAAACAACATAGTTTCTTTCCCAGTCAGAAAACTTTCCCATACAACACTTTCCCAGACAGCA